GGAGTCAGTTCCAACTCATAGCGACCCTGCATAGGGTTACCGAGGCTGCAAGTCTTTACAGGAGCAGAAAGCCTCATCTTTCTCTTGCAGAATGACTGGTAGTTTCAAACTGCTGACCTTGAGGTTAGCAAGCCGACTCGTTACCACTATGCTACCAGAGCTCCTTGTTAACTAATAAATAAGTGGTAAGTGGGTGGTCTCTGAACTGTAATAAAACATGATTCTCAGTAATAGTGAGGATGTGGATCATCTGATACAAGGCCTAAAAGTCACACTGATTTAAAATGTTGTTGTTGTTAAGTGCCATCGAGTCAGTTCCGACTCATAGTGACCCTGTATAGGGTTTTCAAAGTGGGTTTGAACTGGCGACGTTGTGGTTTGCAGACTAAGGCTGATCCTACAGTACCACAGAAATGATCAAATAAAAACATCAATGGAATTGGCTCTGAAATAAAGGAATTGAAGGCTGCATGATACGCAATGTTCAACATGCTTTTGAGCATGTGTGAACGTAGAACAGCCTGCCCCTGGGTCCTTACAAGGAATGTGCTTCCACTGTCTCCCTGAGACCCTCAATCACTGTGCACAACTGTGGATCTGCTCTACATAAGGAGAATTTGCTTCGGAATCTCCGGTTTATCAATCGTTGTTGTTGTCAGGTGCCATCGAGTCAGTATCGATCCACTCATAGCAATTTTATTATACACAGCAGAACGTAACACTACCCGATCCTGGGCCAACCTCACTATTGTTGTCATGCTCAAGCCCATAGATGCTGCCACTTTGCCAATCCATCTCGCTGGGGTCTTCCTCTTTTTCTCTGACCCTCCATCTTACCAAACATGATCTCCTTCTCCAGAGACTGGTCCCTCCTGACAATATGTCCAAAGTATGAGAGATGAAGTTTGGCCATCCAACGAGCACTCAGGCTGCACTTCTTCCAACACAGATCTGTTGGTTCTTTTGGCAGCCCAAGGCACTTTCAATATTCTACTCCAACACCATAACTGAAAAGCACCAATTCTTCTACGGTCTTCTTTATTCACTGTCCAGTTTTCGCATGCATATGAGGTTACTGAAAATACCTTGGCTTGGGTGAGGCCAAGTCTTCAACCCTCAGTCTTCAACACTTTAACCTTTGTTTTTAAACACTTTAAAAAGGTTTTGTGCATCAGATTTGCCTAATGCAATAAGTCATTTGATTTCTTGACTGCTGCTTCTATGTTGATAGTTGATCCAAGAAGAATGAAGTCCTTGACAACTTCAATCTTTTCTCCGTTGATCAGAATGTTGTTTATTGTTCCAGTGGTGAGGATTCTTGTTTTCTTTACAATGAGATGCAATCCATACCTAAGGCTGTGCTCTTTGATCTTCATCAGCAAATATTTTAAGTCTTCACATTCAGCAAGCTAGGTGGTATCATCTGCATATCTCAGGTTGTTCATGAGTCTTCCTCCAATCCTGATGCCATGTTTTTCTTCATAGAACCCAGCTTCTTGGATTATTTGCTCAGCATACAGGTTGAATGAGTATGGTGAAGGAATACAACCTTGTCACACACCTTTCTTAATCTTAAACCATTCAGTGCTCCCATATTCTGTTCGATCAACTGCCTCTTTTTCCATGTACAGATTCCTTATGAGCACAATTAAGTATTCCGGAATACTTATACTTTGCAATGTTGTCCATAGCTTGTCATGATCCACACAATCAAAAGCCTTTGCATAGTCAAACATAGGTAAACATCTTTCTGATATTCTCTGCTTTCAGCCAAGATCCATCGGACATCAGCAATGATATCTCTTGTTCCACGACCTCTTCTGAATCCAGCTTGAACCTCTGGAAGTTCTCTGTCAATGTATGCTTGCAGCCATTTCTGTATTACCTTTAGTAAAACTTACTCACATGGGATCAAAGAATGGAATCCAAATAGAAAAAACCAAACAGTTCAATCTCTGAGACCCATTACTCTGGGCAATAGTTGTGGAGGGTGGGGCTGCTTCAGGGACAGAGTTAGGGGAATGTTTTCTGAATTCTGTGTTAACCTGCAATTGTGTAAACCACTAGTTAGTGTCCAGTGGTTTCTTCTTGGCTACGTAGCCTTAGAAAGGTATCTGATGTCTCTCACTGCAGTTGCTATGGCGCATAATGTGGTTGCCTAGGGTCATGGTTAAGGGTGTAGGCTCTGAAGCCAGAGTGCCTAAATCTGAATACCAGTTTGATACCAACTGTGTGATCTTGGCCAGTTGCAATGTCTCTGTGTCTCAGCTTCTTTGTCTTAAAAAAATGGAGCCCTCCCTCCTGGGGTTGGTGGAAAAGTGTGTGACAGGTAGTACTATACCAAAATCAGTTGCTGCTGTGTCTATACTGATTTATGGTGTGCCATATGTCGCTGAGTGGGTCTGTACTCCAGGTCAGTGGTTCAAGCTCACCAGATGCTCCTCAGAAACCCTATACAGGGTCGCTATGGGTTGGAACCAACTCAATGGCACAACAACAATATGTTGCTGAGTGGGTCTGTACTCTAGGGGTGTTTCAAAGCTGCAATTTTCCAAAGTAAATCACCAGGACTTTTTTTCTGATAAACCTCTGGAGTGGGTTCAAACCATCTACATTTGGTGTGCTTGCTTAACCATTTTAGCCACAGTGGCACACAGTAACCATGTCCATTCATGTTATCCGCAGTTATATAATTCATAGTTCTCTGCTCATACCTTACATACAGGTCTTAAGCCAAATCTGACCAAAGCCACAACTTCTGTTCCCATGTTTATTATGGGGTCAGTATATGTGAGTGATGCAATCATTAAGTGGAAAGACTTCAACTCTCTAGAAACCAATTTAATGCAAGTAGTCACTATTTATTGTATCAACATATTTACAAAATATTACAAAGTGAAATACCACTATAATTCACCATGTTACACAGGGGCCGTATACAGGCAAGACAAAGTATATGGAAAAACTTTTACTTCTGTCTTTGGTATTAGAAATCTACATAAATTCGCAGCATTTAAAGTTTCCAATATGAACTATTAAATGTAGACAAAGAGCTGTAATTGATAATGTCATGAAAAGGGGCTCTAATATCCTCTGCTAGGAATCCCCCAAGGTCCATGAAATGCAACAGGAAGACCTAACACCATTTTTAAGGGAAGGGGTCTATTGGCTAAAATAAACAATACGAGCTACAATACTGTATACAGGAGTGTTATGGTTTGTGTGAAACTGTTCTCTGCATAACAACATTTGGCTGACAGTAACAGAGAGAACATTCCCAAGACACAGAGCCTCCAATAAGACATTGTAAGAAGGAATGCACTCCAAGAGCGCTCTTCCAAGGTAGAACTTTACTGTACAGAACATTTGATAAAATACATGTTAATGATCATTTACACATATACAAAAACTTAACTGGTTTTAGCAAATCTGAATTTTTCTAAAACACAATCACAGTTTACATAATTCTGAGGTAAACATCCTGAACCTATCCTAGATGAGAAGCCATAGCCCGGGAGGGGCTGTGCGCTGGGTCACGCCCACACTACATCAAGTTCTGACATCCAAGTGGGTGGGGCCAAATCAAACCCAGCTCATGTCAGAGACGATCCAAAGTTTTGGAATTGAATGTTCCTGGCCCAGCCTTATTACACAGATGCTTCCCACTATTCATTTCTTTAGTTTGAAACACGAAACACTCTGAGTCTTGTCAGAACATGACTTCGGCTTTGGAGAAAATATTTCATCAGTTAAGGGCCGTGTTAGTATCTTCACTGATGGCCCTGAATGGGACTCTGAGCACCCCTAGAAGACATGTTAGAATCCTCACATAAAACAGTTGAAGGCTTTGTAACATAAGTGCACTGCCCAATTCATCTTCCCAACAAGCTGGGAAGATACCTGTTGAGAAGCTGGAAGCCCACAGTGAACACGACCTGAAAAGCCTGGTGACCCTTCTTTTGTCCAGAAATACATAAGGACATAACTGTGCTTTCCTTTGTACAATGCTCAGCAAAGTTGTTTATGTCATCATTGATACTCCAGGGAAATGTGGGGGCCTACGTCTTCTTTGAGGGAAGGGAAAGCATGTGTTAGTAGGTACCGCTGCTATAAAATAATCTACACTCAATGGTAGCCCTTGATCTGTTCGGTAAACAATGTCACTTGATTCAAGGTTCTACCTATGCAACTGCCTAGAATATACTGGGCCAAGATTGCTTCAGAAAGTGAAGTACAACATTTCAAAATCCCCCTATGAATATCATGAAAGGTCCAGAAGTTATTTTAGAGACTTCAAAAAACAATAACAAAAAAGTTGGCAAATATAATCAGGAAATCAAAGGAATAATCAAAAGCCCTGTGGCATACATCACTTATGAAGCAAACCTGAGCATTTGCCAATTCTGTTTTACCACGAGGAGCACCTGGGGGTGAATGTGCTTGCCAGGCAATGAATCACCTTGCTGAACAGTTTGAGAGAAGTAACGCTAGCCCTTTCCAGTAAGTAGACCAAATGGCGGAGCTCTAATTTTCTTCGTGCTGGGAAAAGCAAAATTGAGCTCTGGGTTCTTTATACTATCGAAAATTCTGGTGAATGGGACGTGGGAAGAAAGCAAATCTGCATTAAACATTTACTAATGGCTGGCATTCATGGTGTCTGACCGCATGCAGGAAAGAGAAACATGAACCAATGTGTTTGTATCAGGGTTCTTTGGGGAAGAACAGCTTTTGGCTTTGCCCTGGTCCCTGACAATGACAGGCAGGCAGGCTGTTTCTTGCACAGCTCTGGGCAAGCCATTAATCTGTCAGTACTAGCATCTTTAGAAATCCCAGCATTAAGACTTAGGAGGGGAAAAAGGGGGGGGCGGGGGGGGAGGAAGGATGTAGAACAGCCAGAAATGCAGCTTTTTAAACTCTTCAGTTAATTCAGAGCGTGGTGCAGATTTCTGTTTATTCCTTCTCTGAAATTTCTGGTGCAGGGTGCAAAGCTGGATGGGAATTTATTCATCCTCTTCCACGTACGTGGATGGAAACCAGCCCACCTGAAAAAGAAAAGCAACCGATATAGCAGCCTGACTTTGCATCTGGCACTTCAAAGGGTTCTACAAAAACAGAGCATCCCATTTTCATACACTCCAATTAATCCCAGGTTTTATACCTATTGTAGGTGAAGAAGGTTGGTGTAACTGTTCTTAGAAGCCTGATAGAGTGATAGAAATACACGAATAAAAACCAGCTTAAACAGTGTTCTAATGTACTAGCACACAAATAAATATGTAAATTAAGTGTAATACGGGGCTCTACTACATAATGATTCCTATTTCTGCTACAGAACAGGATGTTAAGACAGAGGTATTATGCCCTGTTCTTTCCAATTTAGATCACCAGCTCTACAGATACTCTGAACTAGACAGAAAGTTAATGCTTCAGGCTTTAGGGACTAAAAATACTGAAATGCTTCTGGTAACACTTTCACCATTCCCAACAGGAAGTTATCAATTTGCCCATAAAGAACTTTATTTATGGTATTCATTCAACATATAGTTAATGAATGACTATTATCAGCAAGGTACCACACCAGCCTCTGGAGGTCAGGGGCCATATAGACTGAAGCTGTAAAGGTGCCACAGGGATTTCTTACCAGCATCACAGTAGGTACCAATGACCACCTGGCCCCTCCCTCCAGGCGCATTAAGTTAACTGAGAAGGACAACTTACTCTGCCATTCACTTCTCCTCGCCACCAGCCATTAGCACTCATCTTTGTGTAGATCTTCACCATATCGCCTTTCAACAAGGACAGTTCTCGCATGTCCCTTGCACAGAAGTCATAGCGGGCAATGGCGATACCCAGCACTTTGGGGCTCAACACTGTAAAGAAATGATGGTGTCAGAGTTGATTTGCAGCTGGTTACCAGTCATACAACCTAATCCGATGGATGTCATTGATGCTATCAAAATGCACAGCCGTGATTTCATTACAGACTCGTGATCATGGTGGGGGAGCTTGAAAGCAGCAGAATTGCTGTTTCAATTCAATTGGATGTAGTTAAGCTCATTTCACAAAGTTTCAAGCACCACTGATTGTGACTCAGTATACCTGGGGTAGAAATGGAAAGTCTCAGCAGGGTGGAACAGAAGGAACCGGTTCAGAGTCCTGACTGAAAGAGCCATTGTTCTGCTTTTACATTCTTCATAAGAACTTTGAAATTGAGACTGGATTTAGTAAGAGGCAAGTTAATATCTAAGCTACTATCTCAGGAGTTAAACTCTGAAATAACTTTAGCAAAAATTTCCTATGGGTGGCACCGTAACTTATTTCTGACTCGAACTTCTAAGGTAATTCTTTACTTTTTTATTTATTGCAAATATCAATATTCTTCAACGAATATTCAAAACAATATATATAGTTTTATTTTGCTTAGAACGTCTCCTGTCAAATTCATGTCATCATTTCTAGTTAAATGGCTCTTCCTCCTAACTAGGCTTTTTGGTTACAACTATTTGGGGCTAAACTCGGCTATTGATTTCGATATAATTGCACTTATGTGAAGAAGTCTGAATCAGGTTTCCCAGAAAGAACACACAAACATCAAACATAGATCTTCTTTCTCTTAAACGGATACTGCCTCCTTACCGAAGTATCGAATCAAAACCAAGATGGCGAGGTGCTCATCTCCTAGCTCCAGAGCTGTTTCCTGTAGGGGTTGGGGGAGAGGATCTATAAGGAGTGAACTCATTCCCTGCTCTTGTGCTGAGAGGAAAACTCTGTTCAAGCTGTACGTGTTGGTTAGTCTCTAGTGTTTCATAACACATTTTATATTAACTTCTCTACTTGTTGCTCTTTGGAGTTATAAAGTGTTTTCAATTATATGTTCAGTGATTCTGAGAATCACTCACCTGAGATTGGTAGAAGAACTGAAGTGTAAGAAAAAGAGGCAAATGAAAAAATCCACAATTTGCATTTCTACCAGCCCTCAGTGTCCAGGCAGCAGCAGCAGCTGTGGCTCCTGTGATCCTGGAAGTGCCCACCCATTTTGAGCCAGGGATCTCCAGCCTATTTTTCATGACTTTGTAATGAAAAGAATTTTCAGTCCCCAGGTGTCAATCATAAGATAAATGAATGGCAAAACTGTAGATTTCAGAACTGTAAAGGGAGTAACAATCAGTCATTTTATTTTACTGTACAGGACACAAACGACTTTAATAGTTTTCTTACTGGAAATGGTCCCATTACTGGGGCACAACTCTTAGAGTTGGTGCACATAAAAACACCCCTGTGACAGAAAAACCCAATCATCAGCTTAACCGTGTGACCCTGCACAGGTCTCTGGATTCCTGGAGGCCACATTTTTCTCATGTATAAAATGAAAGGTTTGAACTAGATGACTTCGAGCAGTCCTTCTAGTTCTAAATTCTCTGATTCCATTGGGATCTACAGTCTAATTTTTAAAAATCTGTAAGAAAACATACTTTACCTAGTCATAATGTCCTCTCCTAAATGTCACATCAGCAGCCATTAAACTCTGTGGCTAATGACAGAAATCAAGACCAAAAAGGCCCTGCATCAACTGAAGAGCTACAGAATTGATGGACAGTAGTTACTCTTTCCAAGAAATACGTACTGAATTTTACTCTTCTATTTTGGAGACAAAGTTGGAATTTGGGTTCTATTTATTTACATAATGGAAACACATAAGCACTAGCTTTTCTCAACTAAGAGTTCTGATTCTCAAGAAAACAAATGATTTTGAAGAGGGCTTTGCCCCGTTGCCCCTTTCTCTATATTGTGAGTCTCCATCCCTCTTCAATTTGCTCCCAATAGCTAAATTTAAAGTGTCTTACTGAAATAACATAACATGAGCACACACAAAACCAGGAGTGAAATGTCATGACAAACAGTGACTTTATGACAGAGAAGAAGAAAGTGCATGGTGGTAATGAACCTCTAAGGGCTGTTTGCAGGAAGATGTATCTATGTGAGAAGCCATACACAGAAGTCAAAATATTTTATTTGCACATAGAAGCAAGTTGAAAAGACATATAAAAGCAGTAAAGTAGTACCTGACCAGAAAGGAGTGGAAGAAGGGGGAACAAAGCTGTAGTCTGGAGGAGTTACAAAAGAAAACCCACAGAACAAAGAAGGGGCTTAAAGAAAGAAAGAAAAAGAGAGAAGCAAAAGAATATTTAGATATTGGCAATGATAAATATCTTAAAACAACTAGCTTGCTTGTTTGTAGTCATAGGAGACTGTCACACCAAAGTTAGAACCTAAAATTTCAGTTCCATCCAGTTTTCTCCTATGTTGTTGTTGTTGTGAAGCCGTTGAGTCTGTTCTGACCCATAGGAACCCGGTTGAAGGTTTCTGAGAAGTGAATGGTGAGCTTGAACCGCTGACCTCGCATTCCAAAATGAGGAACAAATCAAACACACAGTGTCACATTTTGGTTGACATGAGTTCTGGAAGAGCTGTGTATCCCTTTACTTTACTTTTAATAAGCGCTAGCATTCCTAAAATGATTTGAAATGTTAGATACCATGCTCAATGTTTTATGTGTATATCGAGTTACTGCATTTAATTACCACAACTCTAAGAGGAAGGTGCTAATACTATTTCCTTTTAACAAGTGAGGAGAAACCTAGATCCAAATGCACAGCCCATGCTCTTAACTGCTACACTACACTGTATCCACCACTCTGCCTCAGGTACCACTGGAGATGGTTGTACAACTCTACCCATCCATAGCAAGGAGCCTTTATAACTGGAAAGGAATGTATGGTTATACATTTTTTTTTTCTCCAGTATTTATTCTCTTCTTCTTCTATGTAATAGATTATTTAGTGGGCTATGTTTGTTCAGAAGGGACATTACATTTCCTGGTCTTCCTTTCTGTTCTTGTTGGTAAATGTTGTTGAATCAGTTCTGACTCATAGTGACCCTGTAGAGGGTTTCCGAGGTACTAAATCTTTGCAGAAGCAGAAAGTCTCACCTTTTCCCATAGAGCAGCTTGGCAATCTGTGGTTTGCAGTACAGTGCTTATCCTATCCTTGCAGGTTAGTGTAGCTAATAGGTCTAAGTTCTGGCCAATGGGCTATAAGTAAACACATATTATAATGCAACATCTGGAATCTTCCCATAAAAGACATCAGGCACATCCCCTTTGCATTTCCTTTTGAATCTTTATTCAAGCCTGCTGCATGGAGTGTGAAAACTATCATTTGGGGCACGAGGAGAAAGTCTTATTTTAAGGATGGTGGAGTAGGTCATTGAGGATTTTATGAACCAGGGATGCCCCAGCCTAATCTCCAACCCTGGACTACTGCCCAGGTTTTTAGGTGAAAGATAAATTTTGTATAGTCCAATGATTATTTTGGTTTCTGCCACTTGCAGCAGAACCTAATCTTAACTAGTACATAAAGCTTTCTGTACATGAGGATGAGGTAAAAGAGGTCATTAATCTGGGAAGAAATACAAATAACCCCCTGATATCTGTCTCTTTTTAGGTCCCTTCTTGGTTTGAGAGTTACAGACATCTCCCAAAGTAAACACGCTGATCAGGAAGAGACTTTAAGGATACCTAGACCAGCAGCTGCTTATAAAGGATTCTAAAACGTCTCCCAGACAGACTGGCTAGGAAAGCTCCAGGGGGCTTAGCTGTTGCTAGCACCATGGACCTGGAACCTTTATCTACACATGGGTGTCCACCCACTGCCTCTGCCATCCAGTAGATTCTGACTCATGGTGACCCTATATAGGGGGTTCCAGAACTATATATTTTTATGGGAGCACACAATCTCGTCTTTCTCCCATGAAGTGGCTAGAGGGTTTGAACTGCCAACCTTGTAGTTGTAGCCTAATGTTTAACCCACCAGACCACCAGGATTCCTTATATGGGTTTCTGTTCATAACACAATTTTTTTCATGAACAGTCATATGTTTACTTTTAACCTAATCCTGAAATATGTTTCATTGATAATCAAAGTTCTTTTACATCCCACTGCATGTTCTAAAACAAATTTGTGTTTTTAAAATATGGGGGCGCATACCATTCCAACCATTTTTATGTGCTTCCCAATTCATCTCTGTTATGCATGTAACTGGTACATTTTCACATCCTTGAGATCATGATATGTCCAGTGGTCCATCACTCAATGTAACAGTTTAACTGGCATGCACCTAACTTACTGCTGGCAGGAAACCTGGTGCCAAGATTACTGTCTTGTGTCTGTGAAAACTTAAGTTGGAAGCCCCCAGTCTATATACTACTTTTCACTGCTATAAGAATTTTCTCCTTGAACTGCTAATGCGCATTCTTGATTCTCTCTCAGGGACTACTTTATCCATAAATAATAAGACTATATTATTTTCAAAATTTCTATGAAGATAATAAGTCCAAGTTCTGAGATAGAACAAAGTCTCAGTTTGCTCTAAAAAAAAAAAAAAAAAAAAAAAAAAACTAGGAAAATACAGTAAAATGCAATTTAAATAATCTCAACTAAGGTTTTTATATTAGATCAGATAACCCATCTTCGATAATTAACATTACTGAAGTAATATGGGTAATGCCTCACCAAAGGGCTTGGATGTCTGTTTTCAAATCTGTACAATCAGTGGCTATCTCTGTCTGTTAACTAATCTTAAAAGCCTTACAAGCTTTTGATTCATGCCCAAGTAACTAGAATTAGAATCTTTTAAAATCTCATCTAAAGTATTATAATCCTAACTAAAGGCAATTATTCACTCTGGTTAAGTCTTGGCTCTCTGCACTGAATTCACTGGAAACTTAACGGCTGCTTCCCCCTCCGCCAACACACACAAAGAGTCTACGGATTCCTGAATGGGCTTTGGCTCCTCACTTGAATTCCAACCA